AGCAATAGTGAGGAGGCGAGATGTAAGTAGTTATCGTAATCGTCATGGAAAGATATCACAAAATGTATTAGCCGCTTGCAATTTTGATTTGGAGTTCATGTACATTCTTAGTGGGTGGGAGGGTTCGGCTCATGATTCTAAGCTACTAAATGATGCTATAACAATGAGGAATTGACTTAAAGTGGCTCAAGGTAAATGCTTATTCTTTAAATAACAATAATTATTATTATTATACTAATATTATATATATTGCATACGTAATTAGGTAAATATTTTTTGGTAGATTGTGGATTTCCTAATCGACGTTAATTTTTAGTTCCATTTCGAGGTGTAAGATATCATTTACAAGATTTTGCAGGTCAGGGTAATGACCTTGAAAATGAGAAAGAATTGTTCAATCTTAGACAGAGAACTTTAAATTTAATGGTTGAATTTAGGGATGGAAAGTATACCCGTACCCGCAGGTAATACCCGAACCCGTCCTGACTTTGACGGGGAATACCCAGTTTGACCGGGTACAGGTACGGATAAAACCCGATATATTAAATCGGGTACGGGTATGTACTTACCCACCTCGTACCCTTACCCGTACCCGTTCCCATTTTTAATTTAATACCCACTTTTAATTTAGGCTTAAATATGTTTAAACTACCTCGAATTAGGTTGATTTTCAGATGACTACTTTTAAATTTTTTTTGTTTGTTTAAATTACTTGACTAATATTTTTTTTTCAAATTAGTACCTGACGTTAGTTTCCTTTGTTAAATGATGACGTGACAAATAGATTGCCACATCATCGCCCAATGTGTATGCCATGTCAGCACATAATGACCACCTCATTCTCCACGTTTGAGACTTAATAAGAAACTGAAAGAGGGGTCTGACAACAAATTGAAAAAATCCTAAAAGAAAAAGAAGAACTCTCTCGTCGGTGAAGAAGAAGAACCGTGAAAGAAAGAGAAGAAGGAGAGAAGGGGTTAGGGTTATTTTTTATTTGTCTTCGTTGTTGACTGAAGTTGGGTTTGGGTTTGTCTTCATCAAATGAGTTCCTTCTGTGGTTCATCGTTCTCGTCTTCTATAGGACCACCCATCAATTGTAAATGTAAGAAACCCGCTATCATTTTGTCATCCCACATCAAAGATAATCCTGGTAAAAGGTTTTGGAGATGTCGTAATTGGAATGTAAGTTGATTTTAATTGTGCTTTGCAAATGACATCTATTGGGTTAGGGTTTAGGGTTTTCCTTTGTTTACAACAATTTTGTTTAAATTTTTGGTTGCAGGAACCTAACTGTTGCAATTTTTTTCTTTAGGTTAAAGATGGTGACAACACATATGTTAAAGTACGTTTGACTTGACCAAATTGAGGAACTTCTATATCAAATTCATCATCTAATCCAGCAGCCCTCTCCTCCTCTGAATCATCCAACCAAACATCCCTCACAGAGTTATCATCACTGTTACATAAATTGTCTCCAACAACACCTTCATTGCCACCATCACAAACTGTAAACATTTCCACTTCCACGTTGTTAGTAATTGCAAAGTTTGCCATGTCTAATGCAACACTATCACAATTAATCTTTTTGAAATCAGAAAGACCAAATTTCCACCACAGCCTAACAGAATGCTCTCCATATGCCAAGTCTTCTTTTACAATTCCCACGACTTCAAAATAGGCCCACCTATCCATATCCATATTCTTCACATGCACTGGCTCGTTGCCTCCAACATAAAGCATCACGGGGTCTAAATCCAAACGACCCCCGTGATAAAGTTTCAAATTGAACCCATTAACACAACTACAAAGAAACCAAATCTTTGAGTCAAAAAAACCTTAGCAACAGAACAATTAAAGGCTATCAAATTGTAAACCCTAATAACATAACCAACCACTTACCTTCAACACAGACGGAGAATGGCAAGGGGCTTCGTCCAGAACAAATTTGGCAGTGCTTCAACAATGACAACAACTACCTCTATTTATGGCTACAAAATCTCACCTCCACAAATGGTCATCGAAGAACGGTGCTTCAAACTTCTAACCCAAGGAACAAACAACCACGTACAATGCGCGTTTCCAAATTGAAGAAATACAAAAACAGAGCAGCTTCACGAAAAAGGAGAATGAAAACGAAAATCAAAACGAATTAAACTTCAATATTTTCAAAATAAAAAAGGAACAATTTTCAAACATGATTTTGTGAGTTCCTGAAGGTTGAAGATGAATGAGAGAATGGGTTTCTGAGTTCGTAAATTTCCAACATATGCGCGAATTTTTAAAAAATTTACAAATCTGACGTGATAATTTACGTGGAAAATGAGGTGGCCATTGTGTGCTAACATGACATACAACGTTGGGCGATGACGTGACAGTCTGTTTGCCACGTCATCATTTAACAGAGGAAACTAATGTTAGGTACTAATTTGAAAAAAAATATTAGTAAGGTAATTTAAACAAATTTTTTTTTAAAAAAAGTAGTAATCTGAAAATCGACCTAATTCGAGGTAGTTTAAACATATTTAAGCCTTTAATTTAATTATATTAAAGAATTTTAATATTTTTTATGTGTGATTATTTATTATAATTTGAGATAGAGAAATAACTTAATTATAATTATAATATAAAAAAATAATTTAAAAATATCATATTTTTTTATAAAAAATAAAAAATAAAAAAATTGACGGGTACGGGTACGGGTATACTCGATACCCACGAGGATGAGGATGATGATGAAAATCATATACTCGACAGGTATGAGTACGGGGACGGGGATGAGTTTGACTCGCGGGGACGGGGACGAGTATCATGAAACCCGTACCCGACCCGCCCCGTTGCCATCCCTAATTGAATTTGATGTAAAATATAAGTGATTGAATAAAGTAAATAAATCTCTCATATATATATATATATATATATGAGTTAATCACTTATACACTGCCCGTAAAGTTTTTTATATTAACAACTAATTATATCTTTTAATTGTGCCATGTCACTGGAAATACATTTACTTTTTACAGTAATATGACACAATTAGAAGATATAATTGATTGTCAGTATAAAAAAACTTTACACTGACAGTGTATATGTGATTAACTCTATATATATATATATATATTATCACATATGGCATAATTGTATTTTTATGGGTATATGACATAACATGTTTAAATGCATGTAATTATTTTTTTAAAAAAATATAAAATTTATAAAATCAAATTGATATTTTTTTAATTAAATTTATTTATATTTAGTTCAACACTTCAACTAAAACAAAAAACTTTTGGAAATTCTCTCTTCCATTTTCAGAATTTAGAGTGAAAAAGCGTCTCTATTCCATTTCCCCTCATATTCATGCGGGAAATGAATAACGTGTGCATTAACTTCATACCAAAACACTCATTTGTTTTTCTAAATACAATAAGAATAAGGATGTCTCCCTCTTTCTCTTTTCCATCTAACGTTCTTCAATTCCAATCTCACTAGGGTTTGTTTCTAAACCTCCCGAATACGTCAAACTCGAGAAAGTTCTCTGCTTTGCTTCAGCCCCATTTGCAGAAGCCAAAGAAGAACACAAAAAAGCTTTTTTAAACAAAAAAGAATGCTAGCTGCTGCTGCTTCAGCTTCTCGGCACCTTCTTCAACGCGATGCCAACATCGGTGTTTGCAGTGGCAGTGGCAATCGAGTTCGCTCTCTTTTAACTGTTTCTGCCATCACCACAATATACCCAATTCGCACAAAAATATGTCACAGTTACGGTTATGGAATCAGTTTCAATAACCCAAGACACACAAAGTGCCCAAGTTTGCTTTTTGCTGTAAAGGGGTTCCTGTCTGATTCATCATCTTCCAGTTCTCCACATGGCAGAGTTCCCAGACCTCACTTACCACTCCCTGTTCGTTCAATTGCCTAACTTAGTCATTTCCCTTCAAAATTGAATGCAGTTCCTTATATTCTTTTGGTGTCGTTTTTCTATTAGAAATTAAGTTTTATCTCAGGAATCTACTTAATAATGGTTTTCATTAGAGATCAACATAGGTTACTGAAGTGAAACTCTAATTCTGATTGAAGAATAACATTGTAGCACCATAAGCGTCTAAGGAAATGCATATAAGTTTTGTCTTTTTCTTTGTTGGTTCTCTTGAATGAATGCCTGTGATTGGTTCAAATTGAATGGCTTTGATGCTGATTGTGGAATTGTGTGGAACAGAGTTCAACTGTGGATGGGCGAGCATTGTTCTCAACTTCAACTAAAGCTGATGATGGAAGCCAAAGTCAAAGCCAAAAGGCTGCTTCTTCCACCATTGCTAAACCATCCCCACCTCCGGGTGGGCAAGTTGCTGATGTGAAGATCCTTCGTACACTTGCTAGTTACTTGTGGATGAAAGATAATCTCGAATTTCGGTTTCGGGTTGTTGCTGCATTGGGTTTGCTTGTTGGGGCAAAGGTTAGTGACCTGGTTGATTATCAATCATCGTATTGTGCTTGTGCTGTAGTTAACTTGCTGATGCTGATCAGTGATCCTTGTTTGTGGCTGGGACTTGGTATTTTCAGGTCTTGAATGTTCAGGTTCCTTTCTTGTTCAAGCTTGCAGTTGATTCGTTGACGACTGCCACAGGGAGTGCTGGTGCTATTGCTTCAAATTCAAGTGGGCTGGCTCTTTTTGCAACCCCTGTGGCAGTGTTGATCGGATATGGGATTGCCCGTTCAGGAGCTTCTGCTTTCAATGGTATTTATCTACTTTTTTGTCTACCTGCTAAAGCTGGTCTTACCTTTGAGAGTGGCATTGTCAGGCTTTGCAATTTTAGAAGTAGACTAGGGGCGAGGATTAAATATGTCCTTATCTGAAACGAACTAATCTAATGCACAAAAGCAAAAGATACAGTGGTAACTAAGATATTGGACACGGCATCACCATTAAAACTGCCATAGATAGAATAGTGGAGAGGGCTTGAGAACATTTCCCTATCCCAAAGCAAATTAAAAGGAAATTGAAACAGCTATGCACCCTTAAAGATGCTGATGTCTCAGCAAACTAAATGTTAAGTATGATCCCACAGAAATAGCTCTTGAGCCAACTTGGCTTATTACCGGCCCCATCAGGATATTTGCATTAGAATTTTGATGTGGTTACTTTTATCTATATTTCTTTGAAAAAAAGGCATGGTTTTTCACAATTCATTTTTTCTGGATGCAACTACTTGTGGCAGAACTGCGGACCGCTGTATTTTCTAAGGTAGCACTGCGAACAATTCGATTAGTATCAAGGAAGGTATGGATGCTGCTTTCGTAGTTGTTTCAGTACATCTAATAAGACTAAGGATTTTAGTACATCTGTTTTTACTTTGTATTAATAGGTTACATTGATTTTGGATCTGGCTTATCTAAAATGATAGTGTATAAAGTGACAAAGTAATAGTGCATCCTGGCTTGTTTTAAAATGGGTTAATTTTATGAGGTACTTTAATTGAAATCAAGGGTAGATACTGTCTTCACAATTTTTTATTTGGGAGTCAAATCCAAGATTTTAGATTAAATTCTGCTTTTAAACAACTTTATTCCTGTCTTTTCAAAATCACCATTTTGTTGGTGATAAGATGTTAAAATACTCAATTTACACTGGTATCTGACTGTTGCAGGTCTTCTCACATTTGCATGACCTTGACCTACGGTATCATCTAAGGTATGTCTTGTAATATAATTAGTAGGATTTACTCCTATTAGGCTATTATTAGGAAGTTTTATAATTAGGCAAATTTGATTTGATTTTTACAGTTTTCAATCCCTTGTATGTCCTTAATTAGGTAAGATGGAGTTTATATATGAGATGTAATCATGTAATCACTCTGTAATTATCTGAATCAGATGTAGAAAATTGAACCTTTTTTTCCAAGTTGGAACCAAAGCTCCTGATCCTAGGGTGCTTTGCTTCTGTATCTAAATCCTAGCTGTCTTCATTGCAGCCTTAGTACCATAGCCATCTTCATTGCAGCCTTAGTACCCTAGCCACCTTCATTGCTGCCAATCCTGGTGTTATGAGCCAATTCTAAGACCTAAGTGGATAAAGAGATATATATTACAATAAGGGTATTAAAGAAATGACAATTAGAACCAGTTATGGTTTTGTTATTGCAATTTGGAAAAAAAATCTAGAAATTGTAGGCTTTTGTTATGCCTAGCTATTAGTTAGTTGCATAATATATCTGCTATGTATATGTAATACACCAACACTGAAAAGCAAGTAATGAATTAAAGCCTTGTTTTCCTTTCTCGTTTATCATCTCTTGCTTTCTGGTTTTTTTGGAGGTTCCTTTCCTTAAGGTAAGGTCCTATCATTTGGGGCTTTCGTTGAGAGCATGGTGGAGCCTACCATGGTTACCATTTAAAGTGGTTATGGTTATGCATGATATGAAGCTTTCCCACAACCTAATTCTTCTTCCCCAGCTATGCAACCCCTCATATAGGTATCAACAATACCCACATTACGTACTCCTATTATCAATATCCAGCTCTACATTATGTGGTTGATTTTGTGAGCACCTGGAACTGAGTGCTAGGCATGTTCAACATTGTGAAAACTTTTCATTCATCAGCACCACCTTCAACATCTTTAGTTTGTATGCTACCTGGAAACGATCCAGGAATTGACAAACTTCCCTTGACAACCAGCTCAATTGCCACAACAGCCTTGCTATTACTAATTGTATAGCTTCAATGAGAAGCTAAAGAGATTTGATAGAAAGGAAACATTGTATATCCTTGATATGAGTTTTTAATAGAAATAACAAAGGCCTATAAAGGTGTATACAATGGATTCAGTTTTAACAGAACTCTAACAGAAAAGCAACAGACTAACTAAAAGAGAAAGATACAATACATTAGTGCTCACAATAGAAGCCTGCACACCTGCACTAACAAACACTTAATATACTCTAATTTAGCCCCCTCAAGATGTAGGTGATTGAGCCATATTATGAAGTAGACACCTGCAGTTTGTCTCTTAGAAACTGAAAATGAGTGGGAGAGAGAGCTTTTGTCATAATATCAGCACACTGTTCTTCAGAGGGAAAATATGTAAAACCTTCAAGCTTTTGTTGATAACCTTTTCTCTAAGGAAGAAAAATCTAATTCTATATGCTTTGTTTGGGCATGAAGAATGGGATTACGGGAGAGTGTGATTGTGCTCATGTTGTCATAGTAGTGTTAAATTCCATCATAAAACTTATTCACATTAAGTGAAGTTGTCTAACAGATATATAAGTTGCACCTCAAGAATTGAGGCATGCGATGTGGGACTTTCCAACATCCTCCCTCCACAGTAGATGTTGGAAAGGGCTGATGTGGATTGCAAATTTACCAAAGTCAAAATCTTTCCTGATTTATAGGATATTTTTATTCTATTCTTTTGTTTCTATGATATTGTTACTTGGTTTTTCCTACATTTTTTAGAGATTTAATTTACTAAAGTAGCTCCTAGATTGTCTCCTAGAGATTATATATATTTGTATTCAATTTGTCAATGAGAACATATTGTTCACATGGTATCACAAGCTCTTGGTTCAAAAGGGAAAATCATGAAAGAAAACAAAATCTAATTTATTTTTTCAACCTTTATAAAAAATATGTTAAAACTTCTGAGGTTCACCATCATCTAACGCAATATCTAAATTAACCCAATCTTCATCCACCTCGGATATCAGTCATTCATTGCAGATCACCCAACACAAATTGAATGGATCAAACTTCCATGAATGGTTTTGGTCTGTTTTGTTGGTGATTTGAGGGAAAGGAAAAGTGTGATACCTAATTGTCAATGAAAGCAGAACATATTTCTTTCCAAACCCTCTGTAGTTCACAATGCTTGCTAGACCAGGCGATACCTACTAGAATAGGCGAACCACAAAGATGAACTATAGGCTCTGATACCATATTAGATTCCATCTTAAAACCAATTTACATTAAGTGAAATTGCCTAACAGATATATAAGCCGCACCCTAAGAATTGAGGTAGGCGAAGTGAGACTTTCTAACAAGTAGATATATGGAGATGGCACTTGCACTTTAAGTTCTGTCAACAAGGTTTGAACCCATAGTACATCAGCTGGTGTGGCAGCAAGACTACAATATTCAGCTCTAGTGCTGGACTGGGGTATGGCAGTTTGTTTTTGGGGTCACCAAGATATGAGATTAGGACCAAAAAAGATGCAAGATCTAGTGTTTGATCATCTTTTGCCGACTTAGTTAAGACAGATCAGAAAGTGCAGGATGAGTATCTATTGTTGTTCATTGCTTATCTTACCTTCTTTTGGACCGACATAGATTCTAATTGTTATTAAATCATGGATCATGAGTTGTGACTTAAATTCTCTTAGCCTTTTAAGAATTTTTCGCTAGTGTTTTAGTGAACTACCCGATTTAGACTAATGAACCAAATAAAATAGACTCATTGTATCATATATATATAAATATATACACACACACATATATATTCAATTTTGGTTTTACTTTAGGATTGAGGCTCCATAATAAACAAGACTCAGAAGGTTTGATTAAATTTAGAATTTTTTTAAAAAAATTATAGTTTCACCTTGGAATGCACCGAGGGTTTTTCTGTTGTTTTTATAATACTTTCAAAAGTTATTAAGGACCGAGAGTAAAATTCTGTATGTAGTCTGCTTGAGTGAATTGTGTGTATTCCTGCACTTAAGTAAAATCTCAGTTTTTGTGAGTGTTTGTCTATTGTTTAATTCTGTAAGTGTCTCACGTAGTTATTGTTTTCCCAGCCGAGAAACTGGTGCATTAAGTAGAATAATTGATCGTGGTAGTCGTGGAATAAATTTCATTCTCTCCTCTATGGTGTTCAATGTAGTTCCCACCATATTAGAGGTATGTCTCAGTTATTACCTTGTTGCTTAGTTCAATGATGTATTCCCCAATGTTGCTCACTCTTAAGCATAGAAGACTTATAGCAGGAATGAAATTTTTACTTGTGGCTTCCTGTTGTCTTTAATGATCTTTGAAAATTATTTTGTCATCCCAACTCTCGCTTCCTTTTTTTTTTTTGGCACAACTTCAGCAGATTTAACATGTATCCATCCAGATATGTTTGGTATCAGGTATACTGGCCTACAAATTTGGAGCTCCCTTTGCGTTAATTACTTCCTTATCAGTTGCTGCTTATGTTACTTTTACACTGACTATCACACAGGTATCATGTCTTGTACCATGTCTTGTACTGATCTAATTATATAATGTAGTTAAACTTGGAGTAATCTGGTACTCCCTTGTATTGAATGTTGGTCTTGTTATATATGTTAATGCCATTGCAGCAGCCTTGTACATCATTTCACGTCTTATACTTTCAGCCATTCGAATTGTGGAGGTTAAATGGTCAGGATCCCTGTGTGCAAAATTATCACTTCTCTTTTTCTTTTGTTCCTCCTAGTTTTTGGATAAGACTAAGAGGGATGGGATTGGTTTCTATATGAATAAAAAAAGGGGAAACCTAAAAGGAACATTATACACCAAATGAATGTGAATTGCCAAATCTTTCCCAAATCAGCTACTAAGCCAAAGAAGCCTCCTTAAAATGATGACTTGATGAGCCTTATGCTCCAACCGACTGCACTTGATTGTAGGCCTGGGCTGCACATTGCCATAAAAATTTAACCTCCTTACCACCAAAATCACATTTTGTAATTTTGCAATATTTTTATTTTTTGTATGAAGTAAAGTTTCAGTTCTTAGTAACAATTATTTCATTTTTGTAACTGGCCAACTAATAAGTTGGTAGGTTAAATGGATTTTAGTATGATACAGTGGATTTGTTGAAAATTAATTGATTATAGTATTCATTTACTTTCTTTTCTTGTTTCTTCAGTGGAGGACTAAGTTCAGGAAAGCCATGAATAAGGCAGATAATGATGCTAGTACAAGGGTTATTGATTCACTTATTAATTATGAGGTGAGCATATCAGTCATTAGTGCCAGTTTTTTTAATGTTATATACATTTTAGTGTTTTTATTATCGGTTTTTTTTCTTCTTGTTTTGTAGACTGTCAAATATTTTAATAATGAAGTTTATGAAGCTGATAACTATGACAAGTACCTAAAGAGTAAGTAATTGATTATTCTTGTTAAATTGGAAGTGTCTATTCTAATTGCACATATATTGATCAAGGAATGAAAATAAATTGCTATCAAACAGTAACTAGACACTATCACACTAGTATTTGTAGACCTTGTACAATTTGTTCTTTTATAAACTTTAGTATTGCTGTGTTAGCTATTTTTTGTGTTATGAGAATTAGGTATTAGTTTTTTATTCTGTTCAATTTCCTTGTGTTAGTAAGTTGATTTTCACTATATCTGCATTGCTTTCAAATAAATTTTCTTTTGGTGAAGACTGAAGAAAACTTGGTCAGTCAGTTAAATTTATCTTTTGATAAACTTACAACTACAAAGACAATGGCCTTTTGATCTCCTAAAACAAAGTATAAAACCTCTCAAGATTAGTTACATTGGTATTCACTTCGCTTATCAAATAAAACCTAGCATTCCTATTACAAATTCCACTAGAAATTTAAATCTAAATGCGAGCACAAAATATCGCAATGTCCATTCTGTCTTTCTTCTCCAATATTAATTTTTCTTATCAGAACTTCTTCAATACTGAATCAGTTAAAATTAAATATATGCTAGTTGCAACCACATTTCTATGGTGGTGTTCTGAATTGTGGAAGCTTCTATGTTATTCCTTTTTTTTTTTTAACCATGTCATTGGTACAGAATATCCACCGGCTTCACCTATGACTAATCTCCGTCAAGAAACTAGGCTGACAACCTTTAGTGGGATCTCCCCTCTCAATCGCATTTTTTCTGTGTTATTCCTTTGCTCCTTTGTTAATAAAGATTTCTTTTATTCCTTCTATTCCATTGTATGCTATCTTCTTAACTCTATTCTTTTAATATCTTATTGTATCAACAAAATGGCTATATTGGCAGCTTCTCTAATTTCATTTATATTTCTTCTCTTAATTCTTTCAGGGTATGAGGATGCTGCTCTGAAAACCCAACGCAGTCTAGCTTTGTTGAACTTTGGTCAAAATGTTATATTTAGTACTGCTCTTTCAACAGCAATGGTGCTGTGCTCTCATGGGATCATGAATGGCTCGATGACTGTTGGTGATTTGGTAAAGTTTTGTCAAATTTAATTCTATTTTGATGGTTGGATAGCTCGGTTTCATGGAAGTTTTTATTTGTTCTTTAATGTTTGTGTTTGCTTTCACATAAGGACCCCTTATCTTCCCATCTCTTTGTAATTATATTCTCTTTGTCATAATGAATTTCTTCTTTTCTTAAAATAATTTAAATTATTCTATCCATATTTAATAATTATTACCTGGATTATATAATCTAAATTCAATATGCAGGTGATGGTGAATGGGCTTCTCTTCCAACTATCTCTTCCACTCAATTTCCTTGGTAGTGTTTATCGTGAGACTATACAGAGTCTGGTTGACATGAAGGCCATGTTTCAGTTACTTGAGGTATCTTCCCTGTGCAATTTTAATTAATTATTTTGCTGTTAATTTTAAATGTTTATTATTGATCATTAAATATCTTTCTTTCACCTCAGTATGTACCATATATGAGTTCAAAACATGGTTTCTAGCATTTTTTGGCTGCATGGATAAGGGTGTAATTTCTTCTTATTTGAGTTAGTATTATATATTCCTAATTTCTATGTGGTTGTTTATTTCTTTGTATTGATGAATTTTTTACATTCTTATGAGCTTCATAGAGAAATTGCTAAAGAAAAATTTTCTGTTACTTTGTTTATAATGTCTGTACTGTTGTCTTCATTTATTCAAAGACATGTTGTCTAGGTATGTGATCATTCATGTTTACATGCAATTTTCTCTACCCGACTGATTCTTTGCTTTTTCTATAATCATTATTACAGGAAAGAGCAGACATCAGGGATAAAGAGAATGCAAAGCCTCTAAGATTCAACGGGGGGAGAATCCAATTTGAGAATGTACATTTTAGGTGCGAGATTGCCTCTTTTCTGCATAATGTGTTACCATTCGTATAAATTGACTTATGGCTAATATATATGATGAGATTAGTAGAGAGAGATTGATGAGGAGACAAATTTATGTTTGATGGCCTGCAACTAACTTGTGTTTTTGGTTCTCTCTGTATTTGTTCTGATTGAGCCCGTTAAAGAACAATTTGCTGTCTTTCTAGCTGATTTTTCAAGGTTCAACTCACCTAAAAGCTAAGCTTGGGAGCTATGTTATATCTCTAACATGTCCCCTCTTCTCTAGGATCCTCAATTAGAATTGTATCATCTACAAAAAGCACACATTTAGGGATAATATTTGTATATCCTTGATAGGTACATCCAAGATTATACTACCCTTGGGTCTAATTATAAGCAACAAATTAGATTTTTCTTTGGTCCTAATTAATTATGAGCAGCAATCATTAGTTTTTAAAGTTACTTAGGATTAAATTTCTTTTATACCTTTCATTTATTGTTAACTTTATTTTCTATACATTCATTTATAACTAACATTAAATATAACGACCATTAAAAGTAAAGGGCATATTTGGGATAAAACTTGAATTTGTGGAAAAATTAATTAAAAGTAATAGTGTTAATTACTTTTTCTGGTCTTGATGATTTGTCCTATGTTATTTATAATTAGGACTAGAGGTAGTATTAAACAAGGACTCAAGATTCCTAATCTAAATCTATCTTTACAGAAAAGTCTTACAGTCCGTTTGGTACATAGAAAACCAGGGAGGATAATCGAAATTTCAATTGTTTGGTATAGAACAAATGAACAGTGACAAGCAACGAAATAGAAAGAATCAATTGAAATGCATCACTAATTGATTGTTTTTGTTGTTTTTCACTGAGATACACATGTAAATCTGGTTTAATTGATTGAAATTTTGATTCAATCGATTAAATAAAAGGCTTAAATGTGTGTTTGGTCCCTAAAGTATAGTAGTTGTGCGATTTTAGTCCCTCAAGTATTCCAGTTGTGTAATTTTGATTATTTAGTTTTTAATTGAACAATTTTAGCTCCTCAAGTACTGCAATTGTGTGATTTTAGTCTCTCAAAAATTGCAATTATTCAATTTTTTACTTAATTTATACATATCAGTAATTTAGTAATAATAAATATATATCATTCAATTCATGAATTAAAATTATAATATATATATATGTAATATGCAATTTAAATAGGTCAAAAATTGTATAATTGCGATACTTGAGGAACTAAAATTCTTAATTAAAATTTAGAAGACCAAAATAGCACAATTGTGATACTTACTAAAATTTGTTCAATTAGAACTTTAGGGACCAAGTCGCACGATTGTAATACTAGATGGATCAAAAACGCAATTAAGTCTAAATAAAAAAGTTGCAATAGATTGTTTTTGTTGATTTAATTGATTAAATTAAAATTTGTAAATTATTTAATTTAAATTTCATTTTTTTTTTTTTTTTTGTATTTCTCTCTTCTTTATGTCTTTCCTATTTCTTCCTAATAAGTTACAGACTAGGTGGCATGAAAATTTGTATTTAATAAATTAAACATTTGCACCTCTATTAAAAAGATAACATTTTATTTTTGATTATCATTCAAGTGATTGTATGTTGATGCATGCTATCTCTTCAGCTACCTCACAGAAAGAAAGATACTAGATGGAATATCACTTGTTGTGCCAGCTGGTAAAAGTGTTGCAATTGTTGGGACTAGTGGAAGTGGTAAGGTTCAGCATGATAATTCTTTATTTTCTTTAATTATTTTACTTGCAAAGTTATTCTTAGATTGTTGGAGAGGAATAATGGAATTATCTATGATAGATTTTTACTCTTTATCACTATTTTGCAAATGGTTTTCACCTAGGTAATTGAGAATGACAGCTATCATGCTGCCATGCTCCACTCCCTAATTCTCACATTGCAATGTGTTTCATTTTTTGCAATCTGGAGTGCTACCACAGTGCCAAGGCGCAGCTCAAGTAGCAGCTACTATTATAACATTTGGATAAAACCAATTGATCATCTGGTTGTTGCAGATATTCTTATGATCCCTGTATAGATTGGGGAACTAATTGTTCACCGAATCAAATTCTGAAGTTCCCATCTCTGGTCTTAATCCAAACGCCATAGTGCCTGTTTGGAATTAAAGCACTGCATGCCTTCCGTAGCATACAACTAGATAGAGATTTAGGGTGTGCTGCAGTAGGTAGGTGAACTTGTGCTTTATCCAGGCTTTAAGCCCAAAAGGTTCTTGTGTGAGGGGGCATGTTGGAGATGTAATATAAAGTCATTTGTATGTATTCACCTAACAATTTAAGCTTTTGAGATTGTGGGTTCATGACACAACTATTTTTTCAAACACAGCCCTCCATTGGTACTTCTATTTTTTCCAGTTGCAGTGTTTAATATTCCAACTATTTGTAATTACCATTTCCTTTTCTACATTTAGTATCCTTAGGATTTAGTCCAAGAATGCTACACCTTTCCAACCAACATTAGCATATGTATGTGATTTTTTTGGGATTAACCGGCCATTGGATTTAGAAGGTGCTGACCTGCTGGTCCAGGAAGTTTCAGGTACATTTTCCCATCCAGACACTACCTTTCTCCAGTGGCCTTCTGCATGGCATGTGATGGAACAAACTCATCAAAATTTTCAGCAATTTCCTTTCCAGACGAATTGTATCCTGTGTTCTGGGATTCCACTCGAGCATAGGTCTGTTTGCTCCTGTGACAAAACTTCATCATTCTAAATTGTGTGGTTGGTAGGTAAATGTGATTTTGTTAGGATCCAATTGCAAGGTTTGGAACTTGAGTTTCACACTGAAAGTATAAGCTTCTAGTGTGGGGTTTATAAGACTGGGCTCTCCAACTACAACAGCTAGCTTTTGTAGTGTGGTTTTCCTATGTTTCTTACCAATTGATGGTAGGTTTTTTCATCATGTCTCTCATCTATGAACAAGCAGCGTGAGTAGTGATGCGCACATTGTCTTTTGCCTCAAAATAGTCAAAGGGATAGTGCACAACCATTGTGGAGTGTGGTGAGATGTTAGGATCCAATTGCAAGGTATGGGACATAAGTCCCCCATTAGAAGTGTGGGATTTATTGGGTAATGGATTCTCTAACTACAACAACTTACTTTTGTGGTGTGGTTGTCCCGAGGTTCTTATCAAATTTCTTCTATGTCAACAACAATCCCACCATAAGGAGTAGCTAGAGCATGGGTAATCTGTTTTTACTTCAGTGTTTCAATGCCTCAGTTTCCACTCCTAACTCCAACAAAGTCCGCCATTGGTTCCATTTTTTTCAACAGAAAATTCGTTTGCTGCCTGCTTCTTCTGTCTTGCCTTTTTTAGGATCCAATTGCAAGTTATGGAATTCTAGTGTGGGGTTTATAAATCCTTGGGCTAACTACAACAACTAGCTTTCATGGTGTAGTTCTCCCTATGTTCCTATTAGTTCTTTTTGGGTCATTTTGTTGAATAATGGATGGTGCTAATGCATGTGTTGTGGAGGCCACCAATTAGGAATCAGGTGGGAGATCATGGGTTAAAACCCGTTCATGCATTGCACCTCTCCATAGGATTTTTCAGCTGGTAGTTGGTATGTGGTGGTCCTTCTGGCCATTTCAACAATTCTTAGTTGTTCTAGTGGTATATGATCTCAATTTTTTATTATAGAGAATTCATTGCATTTTGTTTTGAAGTTTTGGCTGTTATACTTAATTACAACAATAACTACCAACTAGTTGGGAGAGAAGTTTTCCTATTTTTTTGCCTCGCCAACCTCATTTGAACACAATCTTTCTCTTTTTAAAGGATTTCCCTATGATATATGAAATTTAATAATCTTTAGTTCTTGTATGGCATACCGACTTCTAAAATATGAAATGTCTCAGTATTCAAATTTAAATATAGTTTTCTGTTGTATTTTCTGGATTTTGAATATGATCTGGTCTATGTTTATACACATTCATTTCTGATGTGTTTTACTTTTGTGTTTCTTGACAGGAAAATCAACCATTCTTAGATTGCTATTCAGGTTCTTTGATCCTCATTCTGGAAGTGTAAGATATGAAACAATTGATCTACTCTGTAGCGAGTTTAAGCTATATTGCCATGATATATTTATTCTCTGCTCTATAATAACACCTGTATTATATGGCTCTACCGGTATGTTTATTATTGGGAAAAACCCGAGTCCCACATCGACTAGAGATTAGGCAATTGAATAGTATATAAGTGAAAAGCAACCCTCACCTTACAAGCCGGTTTTGTAGGGTTGAGTTAGGCTTAATCCACTATTCTAACATGGTATCAAAGTCATTTAGATCCACTTTAAAAATGGGCCACGCACCATTGATGCATGCCTCATAGGTATGAGGGGGTATATTTGGAAAAACCCAAGTCCCGCCTATCCTAGATCATTAAAAAGGGCCACCCACCATTTATCCACGTACCAAGCCCAATAGTGCTGGACGTGAGGGGGTGTATTGGGAAAAACCCAAGTCCCACATCGACTAGAGATTAGGCAATTGAATAGTATATAAGTGGAAAGCAACCCTCACCTTACAAGCCGGTTTTGTAGGGTTGAGTTAGGCTTAATCCACTATTCTAACATTTATAAACTTTATATATTAAAATAAACAATATAAATTGAAGTTAATTTGGTTACCTAATTATCTATCAGTACATGGCAAGTGATGAAGCTAAATGTTGGTTGTGTTTGTTGGATTTATATTTCATTGTGACATAAAGAACACTATTGCAGCATAATTCAAGATAAGCATGTTTAAGTATACAAATCAGTGATCCTTGGCATGGAATTTGTTTTTCAAAATGCATAACCTGGAAGCTAGATGTTGCATCTATCTACTAGAAGTACTTTTGGAAGTTTCTCTACTGGAAAATACTCTTTATTTCAGTAGAGAAGCTCTCAAAAGTATTTCTAAGCTTGTATCCAAACATTGCTTAAAGCTTGGTTGTTGTCTTTTATCATTAAGTTGACCATTGCTTCTCTCACATTTCTCATTTTTGTCTTGTACTTTACAGATAAAAATAGATGATCAAGATATTCGAGATGTAACCCTTGAGAGTTTGCGGACATCCATTGGTGTTGTTCCACAAGATACTGTAAGTAGAACAAAGCACCCATCTCTACAATCTCATTTCATTGCCTGTGCTAGATCAGTTCTGAAACCTGAGTGATTGTCGACAGGTACTTTTCAATGATACAATATTTCATAATATTCACTATGGTCGGCTTTCTGCAACAAAAGAGGAGGTAACTTCTGTAATGTTGTACCTCTGGTTGCTTCTTCACCTTGCAAATTTCTGCTGTTAGGTTCCAAGTTGTTCTTATCTCATTACTATATGGATACAGGTCTATGAAGCTGCTAAGCAAGCAGCAATTCATGACACTATCATGAGTTTTCCTGATAAATTTTCTACTGTTGTGGGAGAGCGAGGGCTCAAGGTAATAGAAATCCCATTTATTTTAATTATGTTTCTTAGTGTTGTGTTTTTGGGTGATTATTTGTTCAGGGTAAGAAAGGGTATGTGATTGCCAATCTCAAATCACTAGAAGAGACACCCAATATAAATGTATTGAGAAAATTCATGTTATTTGCTTATATAATGACAAAATTTAATTTAAAACTGACCTAAATGCAGTCTGTAAATAAATTAGAAAAGTTCCTTGTACTGGGTGAAAGATGTGGCCAAATTACAATGATGGTAAAACACTGGGATTTTCATTAAAACAAAAGACTGCATTTTTAAAAGATTAAATTAAATTACTATATGTATGCATGCACAGAACCATGCATCAAATGTATTCTCTCTCAACACTTACGATTCATCAAACTTCAATTTTTCTCAATTCTCATGCTTTTTAGACAATCATGAACAATTTGATAGTTGCAAGGATTAAAAGTGAAGACCCTGTTTACTAGAATTTGCCTGAGGACCAGTTTTGAAAATTGCTTGTCTGTCTATCTTTGAGTACAAAGTAATTTTAGTCATCTTACATCCTAGTTTGTTCTGCATAATGTTGTCTTGCCATATATGATATATGAATGCGTGCATTTTTAAGTTTTAGTTACAAATGTCAAACCTGATTTTTATTAGTCTCAACCAGATTGTAGATTGGAAGCTCCCCATCTAAGAATTGAGATTTTTAGTTTGAAAGTATTGTAAAAACCTACACTTTTAAGATAAATTAAACTTCAATCCCATGTAGTTATAACACTTTTTCATCTCTAAACCCCCCTTAAGTTTGGGTTAATATGAAAAATGCCATAACCACAGTTAAACTAACGGCTATTGGCTAATAATCCTTACACTGTAATTAAATTAAATGAAGTGGGGAAGGTTAAAACTTTTCACTTTAATTTAAAGCCATTATTAATTAGCCTAATACTGTAATTAAATTAAACAATTTTGAGAAAATTAATTCTTTCCACTTTAATTCAAACTTTGTGAGGGTTTTCTTTTTTGGTAAAGATATGAAAGATTACAAAGATGGTCCTAATGAGAATTGAACCTAGGTCCTCATATTTCTAACTACTCCAACCCCTCCCCACCCGACTAACTTTGTGGGGGTTTAGTAACACTAAATAATGTTTAGGGTTAAGTTGAGAAAGTGTTAAACTTCAGGGAAAAGTGTAATTTACCCTTTTTCCTAAATAAAATCTCAATCATCAATCACATTCAAATCTTTGCTGCATCCTAATCATGATGCTTGAGATATAAAATATGGCAAAAATCAGTGAGTATATTCTCAGCTGATGTATTCTGTGTGTATATGAGAGAGGTCTGAGCTAGTACAATCAAGGGTACAATCAGAGAAAAAAGCTACAGCCTGACTCCTAAACCATAAGCTAGATACAACAAAAGAACAGCTTTATAAAGCTGTACAACAGATAATAACAACTATTTTAACAATGATGAGAAGCCAAAGTTTTTGGCAAATTCATGATTAGTAAATCCCACGAAAATTAGCAGCATGTTTAGGTTAGATTTATGTGGTATTAGATTTAGAATCATGTTTAATGCCCAAACATGCATTGGCTTCCATGCCAACAGAGTTTGCTATTTGCGTAAATTACATTCATTGTCCTCCAAGGTTATTTTCTCGAGTTCAACATTATGCAATCAATTTTAATAACTGACTCATTAATTTTTAAATAATGTCCCAGTTGCTTGTCACTGATATTCTTTGCTGGTAAATTGGTTTCTGTTGTCCTGTCAGTACACTTTGATACTTTTGGTGGGTGATGTCTACCTAGGAAAATACAATCCTGGGTACACTTACATTACGAAATTTCTCTATATGAAATTAAAAGTTTACAATTACAAACTCTTACATGTTTAAGTGAATGGCCTTTTTAAACAGTTAAGTGGTGGTGAGAAGCAACGTGTTGCCCTAGCTCGTGCATTCTTAAAAGCACCTGCAATACTGTGAGTATTCTAATTATATTATCTACTTGAAACCTTTTGTTGTGTGTAGCATTCTATTTTAAATTTACCGACTTCTGGCCGAAAATGAATAAGAGGATCTTCATGGAATGATAAAAGAATTAATGAATGGCTACTTTCCAAAGATGGTTTTATTCCCCATCCTAAGGCGCGTGCGTTATGACGGTGTGGCCGTGTGGGTGTAGTTTGGGATTTGTAAACTCTAATATCTTATTAGGTCTTAATGGTTTTTTCTTTTAAAAGCACATCTTTCTTATAACTGAAGTCCACTATTAAATAAACCACTAGAGTTAGCCTAATGATTAAGGAAAGGGGTTGAGATATATGTGTGAGGACCTGGGTTTGATAGTTAGTACTATCTTTATAATCTTTCTTATGGATAAAAAAGGAAGTTATTAAATTATCTAAATGCCTTATATTTTTTTATTAATTATTTCTAATTTAGCGAGATGCTATCACTTGTGTTTTAATTTTGACCATTCATGCTAAGATCTGATGGTTGATATTTATTTCTCTCACTCATAAAAAAAAAAATAACTCCTCACTAGATACATCCCATAAATATATATATATATATATATTTATATATTTATATATTTATATATATATATAGAGAGAGAGAGAGAGTCCTGCTAAATTATTTTTTTATATTCTTATTTTTACACATTTTCCCTTCTAATTTATGTTGTTTATGATTTACGTCAACTTAAGAAAGGTTAAATTAAGACCCTTTAGTTATAAATTCCTTAAAAATTTCCTTCTAATTTGAAAATCTTGTAATTAAATCCTCCACCTACTATAGTCGTTAAAATTCCATTAGTTTATGCTGATTAGAAATTGTGAGATAACGATTACCTTTTAATATGCTAATCATCCTTTTTATTTTCATTTGTTTTAATTGCTTCTAATTAAATATCTAATTTTAATATGCTAATTACACCAAAATTTAGGATTTAAACTTTATCTTAGTTTTTAATCTCTTTAATATTTTTTCAATTTACATCTATTCATAAAAACTAAGAAAAAGATCTGCATAATTTAAATTTTAATTTAATATTTCAGTCTGTGCAATACACTAAATAAATGTCTTTTTTAAAATATAATATATATGCTTAAAAATATTTATTTATTACAAATTTTAATTATAGTATAATTTAAACATTCAAAAAATATTTATTTATTATTATTTTTTTTTTGTAAAGATAGGAAAGATTACAAAGATGGTCGTAATGAGAATTGAACTTAGGTCCTCATGCTTTTAAGCCCTCCCCACCCAACTACTAGGCTAACCCTAGTGGTTCTTATTTATTATATTTATATAAAATAAATAGTTATCATGTACATTGCGCTAAAATACTAGTTAATTTTTAATATTATAGCTTGTCTACATGTAAATTAAACTCATGGAATTCATAAAATAATTGAAATTAGATACCAAGTCAAATAGGAAACTAAATAAATCTTACTGTAGGTGGTTTGAATTTCATAATTTTTCAAAATTAGACTCAACATATTAGTAAATACATCAATTGTCCTGAAGAAGGATATCGAAGTTTTGAATTTCAGAAGTTGGACAAATCCAATATGGGAGATTCTACGGCATTTTCTTCTAGTAAATAGTAATTTAGTATGAAACTAAAAAGTATCACTGCAGATAGTTTGAATGTCATAAGATTTCAAAATCAGATTCAACATACTAGGAAACACATTAATTGTCCTGAAGAAGGATATTGAAGTTTTGATTTTCAAAAGTGGCACAAATTAATATGGGAGATTCTGTTGCATTTTTTTTTCTAGTAATTTATTATTCTTTTATCAAGTAAAGGAAGAAATGAAATAAAGGAGAGACATTAAACTCATGAAATTCCTAAAATAATTGAAATTAGATACCAAGTCAAAAATGAAACTAAAATATTACCGAAGATAGTACGATTTTCAAAATCAGATTCAACCTATTAGGAAACACATCAGTTGTCCTGAAGAATGATATTGAAGTTTTGAATTTCAAAAGTTGGACAAATAAATATGGGAAACTCGGCAAATGAGGGAACTAATCGATAATAATAAGAAAGAAAATCAAGCTAATGGATTTCGTAGGGGCAGAATTCAAAATTAGCTATTCTACAAAATAAAACAGATATTTAATGGGGAAAGATATTAAGCATAAAAAGCCTTGAAGAAATAAAATGAATCAAATATTCAGCTAATTTTGAAAGAGTAAATTGTTTTATTTTATACATAAATAAAATTATTCTAGAAAGGAGTAAAGGGTATAAGAAAAAATAGGGTAAATATCCTTAAAATTTTCAAGGATTATATTCATAAAAAAAGACTCAAGTATCATTCTACATAGCTGTTGAGGAAACTTCCTCAAAGAAACCATATCTGGATTCCCAAAGCCCAAAAGAGATATCCTAAGGATGTACTTAAAGAAATAAGAAAAATAAAAATCAGAGAAGGGGATAATCTTAATCTTATTAGACTCGTTATTATTCGGGCTCAACTATATTCTGTGACCCAAGTTGCATATGGATATAGGTACAAGTCTGGTATGGAAACAGTATGGCAAAATTTCTAAAATATATGATATTGTTTCAATGGGATATTTTAAATGAAATCATAAAACCATAAGGAATAAAGTACTTAAATAATAAGGTAAACGAATTTTTGTAATGTTCTTACCCAAGTAAGCAAATATATTTAAAGGCACAGGTTTTGAAGGGAGTGAAATAGTAATTTGTTGTTTAGTGGCACACCAAACCACTGGATGTGTACCCAATAGGAGTTCTGCGACAGTTTAGGAGTACCCATGTATCATAATCTGTGAGAATACCACATTCAAACCCTGAACTTACTGAAATTCACTTACTGCATTACATATATAGTTGAGTGGTGCACCTAATTTCATCCCTATGTACTTGCCATGTCCTTAGTTCACCATTTTCCTATTAACTATAAATAGACTTTGTAAGACATGCATAAGGGAATATTGAAATTGTGACTTGATTTATTTACTTAAATTTTTCGGTTTATAATAATATTTTGAATGTGTTATCTGATTAAAATTATAAATATGAATATGATGAATAACCTATAGGTCCTACTAAGATACTATCTTTTCTCCTAGTTATAAGCACATAGGACAAATCATTAAGATTAAGAAAAGTAATTAAATTGGTTGTTTTTAATTAATTCTGTCATAAATTCTAATTTTATTTCAAAGATACCTTTGTTTTAAGTGGTTATTATATTTAATGCTACTTATAAGTGAATATATCGGAAATAGAGTTAGTGATTAATTAAGAGTATAAAAGAAAGTTTTCCTTAAGTAACTTATAAAACTAATGATTGTTGCTTATAATTAGGGTTTAGGGGTAATAAACTCTAACTTGTTGCTTATAATTAGGACCAGAAGCAGTATTATTATGTACCTTAGTGGTCATGTTGCATAACTAATCTAACAATTTGATCTAAATTCTAAATAAGATATATTTTGCCACTCTTCAGTCATGGATGATCCCTGTGATCCAGAACAAGTAATATAGAATAAATAAATGTTTGTCAAGTTTATTTTAATTTCTTGCTTTCCTTTGCCGTTGTCCTGTGTTGCTCTTAGGTTGTGCGATGAAGCTACTAGTGCTCTTGACAGCACAACAGAAGCAGAGATTTTAAGTGCGTTAAAGTCAGTAGCACGTAATCGGACTTCCATATTCATTGCTCACAGGCTTACCACTGCAATGCAGTGTGACGAGGTAAACTTTATCTATCTAGTTTTATGTCCTTAAGCGGTACTTAGTTCGTAGATTCTATATATAAATGTTTCAATGCGTACCTAACAAATTTTATCCAAGTTTACATAAATACCTCCAGAACAGTTACTATTTTTGTTTCTAATAGTAATCCAAATGTTGGAGTTGGACACGTCATTACAATAAAGCCAAGAAAGTATAAAATAAAAAATAAAAAAAAAACATTTTTCTAACAGTAGATTTATGATGAACCCAAAATCATCCTTACTGTAATTAACATCTTATATTTTGTGGTATGTATAACTTGGTTTGACATTACGTTATTTACATTAAAAGAAATTTTTGCCAATGTTCAGATCATTGTTTTGGAGAATGGGAAGGTGGTTGAGCAAGGACCCCATGAAGTGCTCTTATCAAAAGCAGGAAGATATGCACAGCTGTGGGGACAGCAAAATAACACGATTGATGCAATTGATACAGCCATCAAGCTGGGTGCATAAAAATGATAAAAGCCTCTCCCTTCCTCTTGGTGAGAAAAAGAAAAATTCATAATACAATGTGAATAGCGCATGTATTTAATTACAATTTTGAACTTTAGTTAGTGATTATTGTTATAAGTTTTCTTTAGCCTATGTTACATTTTGTGTTGTTAGATTGACCAATATGAATGCATAGATCATATGCCGGGTCATACATCAGGGAAATATCAATTTGCGTTTCATGGTGATGAATTTTGATAAATTCTTTGTACCCACATATGCAAAGTCCTCGGTGTAAACACTGCTACACATCAGTCCAAGATGAATGAGGTTGGATGAGCTTTCTGCGGACTATTGTTGGAATTTGATTATAGATTGTGGAGTATGTATTGTTCCATAAACTTAAGCACTTTAGAAGCGATTTCTTGTACATTTTCTTTCAAGCACTTTTGTAGTGATACAGTATTCTTGAAAAAAATGCTTTTCTGCTTAAGTGATTTGTTCAATGGGATGCTCTTTTTTTAACAACACTTGTGAAAAGCTAGATTTAGAAATTCAGCATAGGGGATGTGAACATCTATCATTTTGTAGTCCTAGTAAAGCACGTGTAATTATAATAACATCAAACGTGGACTAGTAAATGTGATACCTCGGTCAAATGCAAATTCCTTTTTATGACATTATAATCCTTATTTTAAATATTCTTTGTGCCTCGTTGAGATTCAAGAATGCAGTCGAGTGAATTTTATTTGGAGGTTAGAAGCTGGTTTAATTGCATTTTTAATTTTGTAGGCATCACAATTGTGTGGTTCTTCAAATTGTAATTGTGTTAATTGAGTCTTTCAAGTTTTTTCCTATTAAAAGGGTGTGTATGTAATTATTTTAATAATTGATAATTTATAATCAATTTTTGTTGTAATCAATTTTAATTAGAATTAATTGTTATTGGTGCAAGTTTGTAATCTGGTTTTTCTGCTATCAGTAAAGAATCAACCATCGTTATTAAGTAATTAGCATTCTGTCTGCTAAAAAAATCATTTATTTTTTCAAGCAATCCAACTCAACTGTAAATGGTTGAATTGGGTTGAGTAATTAGATTAATTAATTAAAATATTTATGTATTGTAAAACTTTGAAAATGAAATAAAATAAAAATATATAATTAGTTAAAATTTTATTACGTGTTTCAAACAATAACAAATAACAATTATAAATGACATGTGATATGGTATATGTTCAAACAGCACTAACAAAAAAATACAATAATGTCCTAAACAAGTAATAAAAGCAATACTAAGTCACAAATAATTATTCGAATTACAGAATAAAAATTAAGGAACTGAAACTAAAGAAGTGATTATGAAATAGAATTTTTGTTCTTTGATTATTAAATAATTAACTTAAGTCTTAATTCATTAATCATGAATGTTACTGATTATATGTTACGTCATGTGTATTTTTAGACAATTAATATTTTTTTATTATTAAATTTAAGTTAGGTTGAATCTGGTTAATCAAACTAAAAAGCACTTTAATATAGTATAATTTTGATCAATTATTACATCAATCAAAATTTTTTAATTAAATGATATTTTCTCAAAACTCACAATTAGATTGAAAGTTCTTTTCACCTAAATCATATAAACAAAAATTTATATTAATCCAAAATAATTTAATATTTTATTTATATAAATCAAAATCAACATAATACATATTTTTTAAAATATACAAAAATATAAATAAGTTGATTACCTTCTTATTATTGTAGGTTTTTAACAAAATTTGGCATAAATATTCAAGACAATATTATAATTCAACGGTTAGATAGACAAAATTCACTTTTTAAATAAAGTTATTAAGAGGTGTAACTTTTACAATTATTACATTGCTTGACAATTTTATACAAAAAGTGAATTTACCAATCCAATCGTTGAATGAAAGTTTCTTTTACATAGATCATATATATGTACAAAATTTATTTTAGTTTAAATTTATTTGATACCTTATTCACACAAATCAAAATTGACATAATATATATTTTTAAAATATACTAAAATATGAATAATTTAATCATCTTCTTATTGGTATCCAATTTTTAAAAAAATTGGCATATGCATTGATAATATAAAGTTATAATTCAATAGTTAGATTGCTCAAATTCATTTTTTTTATGTTGTGTTATAGTGTAATAGTTGGTTAAAGTTACACCAGTATAATTTGATTCCTTTCCATATATGTATGAGGAGGAATCCGCTTGCTTCAAGAGTAAGTCCACTTAGACTTCACTCAATAAATCATGTTTTGCATAAGATTTTAATAATCCAACTACTAAATTAAAAATTCTTAATGCATAAATTAAGTTTGTAAATTTTTTAAAAATTTGAAAATTATTTGATACTTCGTTTCATTAATTCAAATTAACGAATAATCATAAGAGTATTTTACACGTTGATTTGAATTAATATAATAGAGTATCAAATAATTTTTAATTTTAAAAAAAAATTGTAAACTTGATTTATGCATTAATAATTTTTAATTTAGTTGTTGAATCATTAAAATTTTATGCAAAATATGAATTAATGAAAGAGTTATAAAGATAAGGAATGGTAATTTTGTCATTAAAAAATGTTTAATAAAATGTCATGTTTCATTTCAGTTGGTTCCATCTTTTTTAGAGAATAAAAATGTTCTAGTATTTTAATCATGTGCTTTGTTCTTTCTTCTTTTAATTTCATCAAACCGGAAACATAACTCATATGTCACGTCCTGTCCCGTTCTAACATGTATTCCAAACGTTACCTTATTTAAGTAAGTGAATTTCTTTTCTATATTTATGTATTAGCTTGTCAAAACGTGTGAATTATTGCATTTTTTTGTTACTTTTAATTTTTGTCAATTTAATTCATAGAAAGGTTAGGAGTTGTTTGGTATGTTTAATTATTTTCTATTTTCATTTTCAGTGGAAAAGGAAAGTAGTTGTAAAAACATACTTATTTAGGTTTTAGAAAATATTTTCTGTGAATAAAGGACAAAATTGTAAAATAATATTATTTTCAATATTTTTCACCAAAATAAAATACGGTGATATAAATCTTAATTATAGAACAACTTACCTCTTTTTCGAATATCATCATTTCATCATCTCATTATTTTGAGAAATCCTTTGGCATTATTTCAATTTGTTTTTCTTCATAACACTTACACATTCCAATACATTTCATATTTACTTGACATTTCTTTTAATGCCTCCCTTTTTTAATTAATATTGATTTGGTGAAACACTTCCAATTGATTTTCCTACAAATGATGTACATTTTGATGTGTGTCTACTGTGCACAAATATGAATGCTAATCCCAAAAACACAACATGACCGAGTGGCATGACCAGATGAAATAGGCAAATTTAGTTCACTGTCTTTCTAAGCTATAGATAATGAGCATAATTTCTTCCATGGTGAAGTTATGCATAGTATTGACAGAAGGTTACCTAACATTTTCAGATGAAACCTTCCTCCAACAACGAGATGCCCGCAGCAGCCACAAGTGGAGAAGGTGAACAGCACATAACCCCAGCATGGCATGCAAGGATTTGTCCTAAATTTTTTGGCAAGAAACCCTGTTCCATACTTAGCCTTTATGTAGTTATCTTTATGCTATGAGGCTCCATCTTGTGATTAAAAAAATGTCTCATGGTGAGAACCATGAGAAGCATGGACACTTCAAAATTGTAACTATGTACTGTCATATTCCTGTTAGATATATTTATGTTGAACATTAGATATTATGAATTTTCCTAAGTATATTTTATAACTTTTTACTTTTAAAAATAAGAACTTTGTACAGATGGATATGAGAATATCTCAAAGATTAGATAAACTGTAATGGCTTATTGTGTCTGTACTCATTTTTAAACCATCAGTTTTTTTTTTGTGTCTTACATTAATTTTATGTTGAACATTATAAGATATTATGAATTCCCTTAAATATATATATTTTTTTTACTTTTATTTTTATGACTTGTATTTCAATGGACATGGGATATAACTGAGATTTTATAAATTATAGTGGTTTATTATATCAGTAGATTACTCTACTCCATTTTCTTTTGTAAAACTAGAAAGATTGTCAAGTCAGTTCTTCTCAAAACAAAATGATATTTTTAATTGCGATTTCATATTTAAATCGAAAACTGAATTTAAGTCCTTTGATTAAAGAATCGTGTTAAACCATTTATGCTTAAAGTTTCGGTACTATTTTTAAATCATCATGTTTTGTCTTTTGATTCTTTAAAATTTACTTTATTTTCTGTACCGGGAGGACCCTATCGGTCACGTTGACCAACACGTGCCGTTCCGTCAGACACCCATGCGAACTGGACCATACCCAAGGTTGACGTTAGCATCGGCTCGGCTTATAGCCGAAGGCCGAGATTAGTCAACTGGCACATGTCGGCTCGGCTAAAGGCCGATGCAAACAACATGATGCATCCCCGCATACTACATATCGGCTCGGCCCAATGCCGATCCGATAAGATTACCAAGTAAACGTTTACCGGCCCGGTCAACAGTCGAAGACATGCAACCTCCCAAGCATTAGCCTGTCGGCTCGGCAATGTGCCGATAGGTTAAACGGGTTATAGTACAAATCACAGTTAACAAGGACAAGTGCATAATTAAGACATGATTAGCTAATTAGCATCGTATTACCTAATTTGGTAAAGATTAGAATAGGCCCACCACGTTCAGGCCCATGTCAGGTATTATAAATAGGTCACACG